ATAGACCACTTTCATAAATGGCTGCCGTATAAATATTCTTTTGTTTAAATTTAAATTAGCCCTTCTGGCCTCGCTTGAGATAATGTATTCTTTTGAATTTTGTACTAGAGAACGAGGCCAGTAGGGCTAATTTAAATTTAAACAAAAGAATATTAATCCAGCCGCCATTTATAAAAGTGGTCTCTGGTAGATACCGGTTGCCTTGCTTAATTCCAGTATGAGTACGCGCCGATTTATGTACGGGAAAGAGTTGTTACATTGTTTCAGTATTTGTCTTATTTTTTTCTGACATGTGAAATCTTGCCAGTGACATCCGAGTTGGCAGCTGGTATCCTGGATGATATAGCAACTTCAAACTCGAGCAACGTTATACGTGACCCTGGTAACCTACAAAGTGTCTGAATCTAAGCCAGCCAAAGCACAGTAGTTTGAATAATTCAACGAAACCTTGAGCAAAAGTAGTTCAGGGAATTAGTCTGCTCACCCATTGTATCACGCCACGGATACAACTTAACTTATAATTTAGAAGGTTACTTATTCCTCGAGTATATTTTCTTTTTTTCTTTCGCAAGAGCACATCCTCTAACAGAACATTTAATGAACCAAAAAATAGGACAGCCGCTAATGAACATTGATTTCAGATGATGATCAGATATCTCATGTAAGGTCATGAATTTTTACTAGTGCAGAGGTATAATTTCCGTTCGCCATTCCGTTCATATAAAACTACTGGGTTTACTTACAGGTCTCTCAGCTTGGACAGGCCTTGGAACTGATCACGTGACAGGGTTACGAGGCTGTTTTTCTCCATGTATCTACGCGATAAATAAAATGCACGAGACGCTCTGTATCACTATTTAACAGTAAAATTTAAATTTAAATAATTGCTTGGGCTCAGAAATGTTTATCGTCAGGAGCAGCTATGATTATTAATATCGTTTACTCACCTCATATAAACGTTCCTTAAATTATTTCTGCCTTTTTCTTCAGCAAATTGTTTTACTGCTTATCAAAGTTGTTCAAAACTTCATTAAAAAGCATCGTCAGACTGCTTAAGACTGTTTTCACCGGGACGAGGACATTTTGATGACATCGCGCTTGCACTGATTGTTCTGACCGCCGATTAAATAATGGCTTAACGATGGTATTTACCCGAGGTGTACATCGTCGTTAAGCCGGTGTAAAATAGCTTGCCGGTTTTTTGCCTGGTTAATTTTGCGATCAAGTAAAAGCTTGTATTTACATTTCTTATCGAAATACGGAATTCAAAGCTTTTGAACGCCCTTTGTTGCTAGAAAAACCTGAAAATTAGAGGCTTTGTGTCCTGATTAACATTCCACCTTTAATTTAGATTTTGAAAAGATTCCCTAATATCTAGCAGACGTTTTTTCGAAGAGATTTTGAAGTCCTGAACTCAAATGTTTTGTGATAACTATAAACCCACTTGATTAACCGCGTTGTTTTTTTCTTTTTTACCATTTTGAACATCGTCATCATTATCATATATCGCTTTTAGTCTCATGGGAAGGCGTCAATGAAGTAGTGTGTGGTATTATATTTTGGTATACAAACACTGATGAAATACCTGGCGAGCTTTCGCGCAGAGTGAAAGTAACATGTTATCTTCACAAGTAAAAATACCGCTGTTCCGTAATAAAGTGCACCTTTTTGCAACTAAAGTGAATGTTTTTATTGGTGTTTATATGATGAATATTACATGGCCGCGTAGAGATACGAAGTTTATCGTCTCGTGTTGAAAATTATCTTTGAAAACTCGAAGAGAAAGTTCGTATCTTCGCGCGGCCATGTGATATCCTCCACATGTGCGTTACCTTAACAAATATGATAATTAATGATTCTTATTTTCTGCATCTATTTTAAAAGTTACTGTATATTTTTCGATTAAGATCCTTAAACCAGCTTTTAATTAGGTATGAGAATGTCAGAGAAATAATGGGTAGGCACACTGATTCTCTGTTTTTACCCAAAGCTCTCTTTTCCTTTCTGCTCATTAAAAAGGACACGCACTGAACCAGTTTCTGTTACAAACACAAATCACTTACAATGTTTCTATCTCGGAGAGATTTTTTAACTTTGGCAGACGCTGAAGTTTGTTATTGGAGAGAAAGCTTAAAAAGAAAAAACACAAGGAAAAAATGCTGAAAAGCAAGTTAACTGCGTTGGTATTTGAGACTCTCGGAGATTTTTTTATCCCAAAAGGGACCTCGTGAATTGACAGTAAAACTTAACTGTTTATTTTTATTTTAGCTGAGTGGCTAAAACTTTTATTCCCGGACTAGAGAATGTGAAAAATAGGTGCCATTTGTAATTCTGCTGTTTAAATGGTCGTTTACATATCATGACAGGAATTCACATCTCAGTGTTGGTGCATCGAAACTATGAATTCGAACTGTTGCTCACATCGCAAATTAATCTTGTAGCAGTTGGGCTGTAATAATCTAAACCTTCCCTGATCGCTTGGCAGAAAACAAATTGAAGTCACAAGTCAAGTGGAGAAAGCGCTAAGCGAGACAATCAATCTCATTTTTTTAATCTATATTTTCTTTTCACTGCTATTGGTGACCACATCCACTATAGTTAGCATTGTATACCGGGGCGGAAAAGTTCCAACCTCTCTCCACTCTTACGTATATGAGAACGATCCTTCGCAGTAAAGCACTATTTGAGCAATAGTGAAAATCAGACCTGAAAAAAATTTCAGGCCTGTACGGGATTCGAACCACTGACCTCTGCGATACTAGTGCAGCGCTCTACCAATTGAGCTAACAACCCAAATAGTGCTTTACTGCGAAGGATCGTGCTCATATACGTCTCATAACCGCAGTTCACACATATGTTTCATATGTTTGTTGTTGTTTAATTTATCATCTACGGGTTTATATCGAATTAATTTGATGGCCTACTCTGTTATATACCGAAGTTAATGAAGCGTATTTGTTTATTGTAATAGCATTCTATTTGAAATGGCCACAATGCAAAGGTTAAACTAAAACCTCTAAAAAGAAATGTACGGTTTCACTCGCTGTAAAGGCGTACTAAAATGCCACTTACAGCCTTTTCAACTGAGTAAGGTTGCCAAAAACATCTTCGGGAAGATGCTGAATTTTGTTGTTTGACAAATCCCTTTGAGAGAAATAGTAAGGTAACATTTAAGAACACGAATTCTACTTGGAAGATGGGAAAGTCCCATTTCTGTAATGTGAGCCAAATCGGCTAGCTATTGATACAATACTAGTTATTTTTTTAACAAATCAGGAAATGAAAGCTTTTTGTGTGTCTCTAAAAACATCAATCATGACCAAGAACCTCCAATATGAAGAAATTGGACACAAAGGAAACAGTTATTCCATGCTTAAAAACGAGAGACTTTCTGTTAAGACAACAATGGCAGGGAGACCTTTCATTGTACTATGACATCTATCACTTAAAGAAGACTTTACTCAGTAATTTCCAAACGAACAAACTCAATTCGAGAAAAGTAGAGATAACCGATGTTCTCAACCAATTTTGACCGCCATCTATGAATGTTGATGTCTGGCCTGTAGAGGTTTTTTTTTTTTTGCACAAAGAAAAGTCCCACTTACAGTACTTTCAGGTTGGTATTACTGCTTAGTATCCCTCGAGGCAAACTCTGCAACTGATTGTAGGACAAGTCCCTAGAATATGTATTCGGAGAATGAGATGATTGCCAGTTAGAGAAAAAAAAAACGCAAACAAACAAAGATTCAGTTAACAAACTACATTTCCAAGGGCAATGTGGAACTCTGTCATTTCTATCTTGGATTAATTTTTTTTTTTGCGACGAAATTCTCATGTGATAGAATTTAGGCAGGTACAGTTCTTTAATCAGTTCCAGTAATCGTTGTATTTACAACAAAAATCACGCTTATTTATAAAAAAAAACATATTTTAAGTGAGAGATATTGGGTTGAACTTGAAAAATGATGCTCATATCCGTGACAAAATCTTACTACCAGCTCATGATTATATACTTGAAGCCGCCTCCTCTAGAAAAAATTCAAATTTTTCCGTCGAATCTTTTTTTGGTTTTGCTACGTTCAATAAATAAATGCACCTTATTCTATGGTTCAACAGGTCTATTAACTATGGTTTAACAAACTTGTAAGGCAGATGGATGATTTGCGAGCTGCGCAGGGTTTTTTTTTTTTTTTATTTGGTTATATCAACTAAGTTGAAATTATAAATTGGCCACCGTAACGAATAAAAAAGCTGGCTTTTCGAGCGTTAACCCCTCGTCAGAGCGAATGGAGGAGTTGTGGGTTGTATGTGGGTTTGAATATAGAAGCGGAGGTACGCCATTGGTGGGAACATGGCAACGAGAAAAACACGAATCAATTAGTAAAATGAAAAGCGTTCGTTGATAACTGTGGGAATAAGAGTGCCGATTTGAAAGATTAACTTTTGTTCAAGAGTTTTGCGGCTTTCCGTGTTGCCTAAATGTAAGGAAAGACCGCAGATTGCCATCTGCTGTTTAGAATGATTAGGTAAATTAAAGTGTCTAGCGACTGGTTT